GGATGATGACCTTGAATTTCTAATCATCCTGCCTCCCAAGCATGGGAATTATAGATAAGCATCACCATGCCCAGTTTATGCAATGCTGGGAGTTGAACTCAAGGCCTCCTGCATGCTAAGCAAGAATTCTGCCAGCTGAGCTCCATTCCCAGACTCTGTCATGGCATTATTTCCTTTTCAGACATAGAACTAAACTATATTTGTAGAATAAGCTCAGGGTCTAGGGTACAGCACTTGCCCAGCATGTGAGATGCCCTCAGTTCCATGTCCAACACTGTGAATAATAAATTTAAAATAGTAAAATGAATCTCCATACTGTATGCTCTCAATGGTAGGCATATGAGCCAACCTAGCCAATTCTTGCTACCTGAACACATATGTGAGGCAGACCATGTCAGACCTCCAATGTGTATCCATGCACTCAGAGAAAGAGCCATTGCATTGATAACCCAATAGGTGTTCATGATGGAGCCCAGCTGCCTCCCACAGTCTTTTCACGCATTCTTCCCATACAAACCCCACCTCAGTCAGAACTTCTCTTAACCATTCTTTCAGAAATAATAAATCACTGCTAAATTTCTTCCTATCCTTTACTCTGTTAGTAATGGTTTTTATCTTTTGAAATTCCCCCATAATTTTATTTTTTATTATATATCTTCGTACAGGAAACGCCAGTGGTGTGAAGGCACAGATAAGCACCACTCACCATCTCATACCTGGCACCTAGAGTTGAATGATTAAATAATAGTTAATGGTATTTTTTAGTAAATACTACACTTTCATTTTCTGCAAGCTCTTTTGCCATGGTGTACTGTACCCTGCAACTTGCAACTCTGAGCCAAAATAAAACCTCTGTCTTGTTACTTTTATCAGATATTTTGAAACAACAGTAAGAAGTAGACAGTTTCATACTTTGTGAGAATTAATCAACTAAATGGTCTTTTCGATAAGGTGCACTATTGTCTCTACCCTGCATTTTCTTACTCCCCACTTTGGATCTGCTGTTTTTTATTTAAGATGCCATATGGTGACAGAGACATAATAACTAGAACTAAGGATTCACTTAACCCTGGATCACTGTGGGGCAACAGACCCATGGTCTAAGCTATAACAACAACCAAGAATTCCTATCTCAACTGTCAGGCACTGTCTTCCCACCCACTTTTGCAGAGCAGTAGAATTGATATAAAACAAGTGCTGTGTGAATAACAGTACTAATGTGTCGCTGTGTAACTGCTCATAAACTTAGCTCTATCTAGCTCTCCCCAAGGTAAAGGTTTTATGTGACATAACAGAGGGAAAGAGTTGACTAGGACATCTTTATGAGCATCACCAAGGACATCCTGGAGAGGTAAACATCCAGGCTCAGAAGCCAGAACTGTTTCTCACTTGTTGAGGGAATAAAGGGTCATAAAAGTACTTGAGTTCTCTATTTTTCTAACTTCTTGGCAGCCTTTTTCCAGGTAACAAATTCAAATATAAAATCTTTCAGACTTTTGAAAACATGAAAAAGACCCTGAAAAGGGTTTAGGTACATGGATTGGCATGTTTTAACCAAACGTTAATCTGAGAATAAGCACATCGCATTCCTCTCTTGTCATTAGATAACCTGGACAGAGACTAAAATATAGAGGTTTTTTTTTTTTTTTTCTGTAACAGTGTCTTTGTGTTTACGTATCAGGGTTCATGTTGGCAACAATTTAATGATTCCCACTGAAACTCATTCACCACCAGGGGAACTAGCCACTTGATTTCCACCTCCTTGTCCAGCAGGAATCCTTTGCCTAGCTCTCATAATAGGCCTGAGACTAAGGGACCAGGACATGACACAGGGGCCCAGAGCAAAAAGGAGATGCAAATCAGTAGATTGTTTCTATAGGCTCTAAAGAATTTACACAAGCCAAAATGTGTTGATAGGCATATATGTTCACGTGTGTGTTTTGATAACATTTTAACGACTCCCACTGACGCTGCATCATCAAAACTGGAGTCAGCCAGTTACTCTTACTTTCCTGTCCAATAATATTCCCTTTGCCTTTGTTTTATTAAGTCTAAGGCTGAGGAATTTGAACAAAAGACAGAAACACAGTGGAAGAACCTTAAAGATGTGACTACTTGAGTTGAGTTTGCCCTTTAACTCCTGAAAATGGATCAAGGACACTAAGATATTCAATTGCACAAACAGCAAATTTTTCAATGGTTAATGTTAACACACTGAACCTGATAGCATACTTGATATTTTAGAATTAAAGGAAATAGGTAAAAACATTTAACTGCCAGATAAAGTCAAGGTGGTGCATATTGAAATTGAGATGTATTTATTATGTTTAATTTTACTTCATATATTTTCCAGAGATATTAAATATTTCAGACCAAAGATGATCATCTCACTGACAAAAATGACAAAGATGTTAAGTATTTTTTAATAGTTTATTTATTATTTTTATTTTATGTGTATGCATGTATTGCCTGATGTAGGTAAGTGTACCTGTGTTGTGCAATGCCCGCAGAGGATGAAGAGGCTGTTGGATCCCCTGGAACTGGAGTTATGGACACTTGTTAGCTGCCATGTGGGTGCTGGGATTCGAACCCAGGTCTTCTGCAAGAACAGTCAGTGCTCTTAACTACTGAACCATCTCTCCAGCCTGAGCCTTAAGTATTTTTAAGGGGGATGTTGTGCTAAGAAGGGTGCAGAAATGGGGTGCACTGGGTATGTGATAAGTCATCAGTCATTTCTTAAGAGCCTCTCAGTTGTTTATTGAATGATTGCCACATATTAAAATCAACACAGAGGTTTTCTATTAAATGCAATTCTTCAGACAGATTTTTTTCAAATCCCCACATAGTACAAAGTGTGAAACTATATAAATTGAATCTGAGTGTAAAAATAATGTCTCCACCCTATGCCCATGTCCTTTTTATGGAAACTTCCTTACATGAGTTACAGGCTAAGGAGGTAGTAGGCTTAAATCAGTCATTAACTGATTAAACAATACCTAACAACCACAGAATGTAATAACGAAACATTTATTAATAAGATACTAAACGCTATAAAAACCTTTTTTCATTCTACAGTCCACTGCGCTGGCCCCACACACTGCAGTTTCCACTGTTCTGTGTAGCCAGGCTTTTTCACCACCAATTGGTGTTGTTTCTCCACCTCAGTTATAGGAAATTCACCCAGAATATGAGAAATTTCTGTTTCCTCTGCTAAACCACCTGAAACTAGCCCTAGATAGACCTTCTGTTCTTCCATGACTCAGTCAATACTGATCCTCATGCCTGTTCATGCACCTAAATATCTGTATCTCCCATCAGACTCCTGTTCTGATCCTCATGCCTGTTCATGCACCTAAATATCTGTATCTCCCATCAGACTGAGCATTGCTCCAGAGTAAGATCTTTGCTATACTTTTGTGCATACTTCTAGTACAAGCCCAGTCCCACCATGCTGCAAGGATCTCAAAATGTGTGTGAAGAGGCTAAAAGATTCATTGAATGAATGCATGCACTCTCAGTTCCTAATGAACCCAGTGCTAGGAATGCAGTGGAGTCTAGTTTTTGTGAATGTGGCTCTATTTTTTGAACATCAGTTTCTGTGGCATAGTTTTACAGGTAATGCTGCAAACATATGAGAGAGCGGTTGATCCACTCTATCTCCAAGTTGATCTGGAAGCTTCATGGTGTTTCTGATAATTAGGAACTGTTTCTCTGCTACCTTAAATTGAGATGAAGAAATAATTCAGCCTACTGAATGTTTACAGAATGATTGTTGTAGTAAATGGTTTTGGAGAACAGGCTTTTACTCAGTTCTGACAGATGAGCAAAAGATTAAAAGTGATCCTGCTTCTTCATAGGGATGCAAAAGAGAACCTTTCACAAGACATAGCCTTTGAGACCAGAAGATTGCCAAGGGCACCAAGACTCTCCAACTACTTTCTCCAAGAACCTACAAATGGATCAGATGATGATGCAGTTTGGAGAGTGGAAGGAAGATCAGATCAGGAGTGGAACGTGATCTCTAGCTGGTTCCTGTGTTTGAACAGAGGCTAAAATTAGGAACCTGCATTCAATCCCAGGAAGCTGCATCATTCTCTGTCCTGCAGCCTCTCTTGAGTCTCCCCTGACTCAGCTTCTCCCTCCTCCTGCTTGCACAAGCTGACAGTGTCCACACAGTTCACAGTTAATGCATCAGAGTTGCCATCATTCAGCTAGTTGAAGACAGAAGAAGGAGGAGGAGCCAGTGCTCCCGAGTCCCTAAAAATCGTCTTTCAGAGAATTCCAGAATCATCATGTTCTTATTCAAATGTACACCTGTACAATGTAGAAAGCAATTGCTAATAATAATTATTATTATATATTATTATAACAATTTTTAAAACAAGAACATGGAGATGGTACGCCCTCTTCTTGTCCTTACTGAAGCTAGAACCTATAACTCTCAAGTAAGTAGCCTAACTGACAAAGAGAGTTGAAAAGATTTTTTTCTCAGTCTTTTTGAGACAGGGTCTCCCTATAGCACCAGCTGTCCTGGAACTCACTATGTAGACCAGGCTGGCCTTGAACTCAGAGATCCGCCTGCCTCTGCCTCCCTAGTGTTGGGATTAAAGGCATGCACCACCACACCCAGCAAGAGTTGAAAAGATTTTGTTAAAGCAAAACAAAATGAGAAAAGGCTTACTTAGAACATTGGAAACTGATACCAAAAGCATCAAAATGAACCATGATCATTTTTCTTTTAAAATATTCTAAGTGTCACTATTTAATATATTTTCCTTCTCAACCTGTTCATCAGGAAAAGAATAATTTGACAATTTTGCATGTGGTCGTGTCAAAAGATCAACAAAAACCAAATGGAATCATTAAAATGTGAACAACTCAATTTCAAGTACAAGAGCCAGGAGGAGATGCTTCTAAATTGACCCCAGGTGCATAGGGGGACAAGATAAAGAGCCCATTGCTTGAAACAAACAAGTAAACAAAGAAATGCTTTAACAGAGATGGAAAACTGCACCCAGATCAAAGAGCTTATTTTCCTTGGTCTAACCCAGAGTCAAGCAGTGAGCCTGGTGTTGTTTCTTTTCCTTCTTCTGGTGTATGTGACAACTCTGCTGGGCAACCTCCTCATCATGGTCACCATCACCTGGGAGTCCCGCCTTCACACCCCCATGTACTTCCTGCTCCGGAATTTATCCATTGCCGACATCTGCTTTTCCTCCATCACTGCCCCCAAGGTTCTGGTGGACCTTCTCTCTGACAGAAAGGCCATCTCCTTCGACGGCTGCCTCACTCAGATGTTCTTCTTCCATCTCATTGGAGGGGTGGATGTGTTTTCTCTCTCAGTGATGGCCTTCGATCGCTATGTGGCCATCTCTAAGCCCCTGCACTATGTGACCATCATGAGCAGAGGCCGTTGCGTTGGACTCATAGTGGCCTCCTGGGTGGGAGGCTTTATCCACTCAATTGCACAGATTATGCTCTTGCTGACACTCCCCTTCTGTGGCCCTAATGTTCTTGACACTTTCTATTGTGATGTCCCCCAGGTCATCAAGCTCGCCTGCACAGACATCTTTGTAATTGAACTCCTGATGATTTCCAACAATGGGCTACTCACCACGCTGTGGTTTGTCTTACTCCTGGTGTCCTACATGGTCATATTATTATTGCTGAGATCACAGTCAGGGGAAGGCAGGAGGAAAGCCATCGCCACCTGCACCTCCCACATCACTGTGGTCTCCCTGCATTTTGTGCCCTGCATCTATGTCTATGCCCGGCCCTTCACAGCCCTCCCCACGGATAAAGCTATTTCTGTCACCTTCACAGTCATCTCCCCTCTGCTCAACCCCTTGATCTACACTCTGAGGAACCAGGAGATAAAGTCAGCCATGAAGAGACTCAAGAAAAGATTTGGACCCTCTGATGTAGAACAGTAGCTCCTGCCAGTTAGTCACCTCGTTTGAGAATGTTTTACAGTAAATAAACTCTTTTTTTTTTTTTTTTTGGTCTTTTTGAGACAGGGTCTCTCTGTAGCTCCAGCTGTCCTGGTCCTGGAACTAACTTTGTAGACCAGGCTGACCTTGAACTCACAGAGATCCTCCTGCCTGTGCCTCCCCAGCGCTGGGATTAAAGGTGAGCGCCACCATGCCTGGCAGTAAACTTTATTTTCTATACTTCTTTGTCATTTTCCTTATTCGGATATACTAAAACACCCCAAAAGATGTCAATTAAATAGGTTCAACTCTCCTATGTATTTTCAGAGTTTAAAATAATGCATGACCAGGGCTGGAGAGATGGCTCAGCAGTTAAAAGCACTGACTGTTCCTGCAGAGGACCCGGGTTAGATTCCCAGCACCCACGCGTTGGCTACAAATCGTCCTTAACTCCAGTTCCGGGGGAATCCAAAGCCCTATTCTGACCTCCAAGGCATTGTACAACACAGGTGCACTCACATACATGTAGGCAATACACTCATACACACAAAATAAAAGTAATTAAATAAATTTTTTAAAAATCATGCATGACCCGGCCCTTCCATCTCCACCGCTGTTCTCTGCTCCTGGTTTGGGCCCTGCGCCATTCCTGGTCTTGGGTCCCCAGACACCTGGGGAACTGGTGTTGCTTCCTGATCGTTTTTGACCAGGGTGCCTTCCTTGGGCCCCAGGAGCACTGCTTCCACGGGACCTGGCCCCGCCCTCACCTCCCTCTACTTCCCTGGTCCTGCAACACCCGCCAGCCTCTTTCTGGGGCTCCAAGGCTCACCTTTCCTCTCCCTGATCCTTTGTATCCAGTACAACCCAGCTACTCAATCCACTCCCTGGGAAATCTTGGGGCTTCTTCCCACCCCATCTGCCTTTGCATCCCTGC